GTTTGATGAGAGCGGCCAGGCTCGCGATCCCGCTGGCAGCGGTCCCGCTGTTGCCGAGGCACAGCGCAGACTGTTGTCGTGGGGATCGCAAGTGGATTTAGCGGAGGGATCCGAGATGGGCTCGTCCTTTTCTCGGTCCTCACCTGCTAGTGGCTCTCTCTCAGGGTTCGGAAGCCCGCGCTGCGGTGTCTTCCCCCCGGAGAGAGAGCCAGGCATTTCATCTATCTTCCTCCGAGGAGGTAGAGGTGATGAGTGTCGAGACAGAGGAGACTGTGGACTCGCCACCGCAGTCTCTCGCGTATGAGGAGCTCGTGGAGGTTGTGACTCGTGCTGTAGCCAAATTAAATATCGATTGGCCAGCCGAGAAACAGGACACTCATCCTAAGAGCAAATTAGACGAGCGTTTCCTGAAAGCGAGGTCACAGCCTTCATGACGGGGCCTTCCGTTTTTTCCCGATCTCCATGCCAAGGTGTCAAGATCGTGGGAAAAACCATATTCTTCCTGTATATATAGCCCCACAGTCTCTAATTATTCTAATACCGTGGGGCTGAATGAGGAATATGGGGCGATGCCAATGGTGGAGCAGACGCTCCCGAGCTATCTCTCCCCATCCTCAGCATCGTCCCTGAAGGCCCCAAAGCTTCCTACCAGGCCTGTTAAGCTTACATCTAGTCTGGTTGGAAAAGCTTATACGGCAGCAGGTCAGGCTGGCGCATGCTTGCACACCATGGCGGTGTTACAAGCGTACCAGGCTGACCTGCTCAAGGACCTGGATGACAGGGAAGAGGGGGAATCCGACGTGGTAGCTGAACTGCTTCAGGCCACAGATTTGTCCCTCCGGGCCACCAAAGAAACGGCCAGAGCTATCGGCCAGATGGCTTTCACCCTCTGGCCTTTTCGGTGACGCAGTTAACACTGTCGTCGAGAGGATCCAGGAGGCGAGAAAGCAAGCGGCGGCGTTTCAACGGTTCCTCCCTCGTCGCTCCCAGGCCCATGTCAGGCTCCTCATATCGCCAGTCACAAAAACACAGCGTTGCAACCCGCACCCCTCCGCAAAAAGAACGGGGGTCGGGGCGACGCTCTCAGTCAGGGTCCTCTAGACTGAAGACGGATCTGCCGTTATTTTGTCGAAGAGGACCTCGACTAAGCGGTCCTGACGCCAACATCGTCAGGCCCCTGAGGGCAGCCCCACCTGGGGAGGAAAGGATATCACCTCAGTATATGGTGCCCGATCCTCCTCAGTGCCCTCACGGAGAGTCTCTGATAACCCTGCCACCCTCGGTGCTTCAGGGCTCAGTGAGCTCCAACGAGCAAAATTCCCAGCTGCCGCCCGGCAACGGTATGTCACGGGAGAGCTCGCCCCCTCTGGGGATCGCAAGTGGATTTAGCGGAGGGATCCGAGATGGGCTCGTCCTTTTCTCGGTCCTCACCTGCTAGTGGCTCTCTCTCAGGGTTCGGAAGCCCGCGCTGCGGTGTCTTCCCCCCGGAGAGAGAGCCAGGCATTTCATCTATCTTCCTCCGAGGAGGTAGAGGTGATGAGTGTCGAGACAGAGGAGACTGTGGACTCGCCACCGCAGTCTCTCAGCCGAAAAACAGGACGCTCGTCCTAAAAGCAAATTAGATGAGCGTTTCCTGAAAGCGAGGTCACAGCCTTCATGACGGGGCCTTCCGTTTTTTCCCGATCTCCATGCCAAGGTGTCAAGATCGTGGGAAAAACCATATTCTTCCTGTATATATAGCCCCACAGTCTCTAATTATTCTAATATCGTGGGGCTGAATGAGGAATATGGGGCGATGCCAATGGTGGAGCAGACGCTCCCGAGCTATCTCTCCCCATCCTCAGCATCGTCCCTGAAGGCCCCAAAGCTTCCTACCAGGCCTGTTAAGCTTACATCTAGTCTGGTTGGGAAAGCTTATACGGCAGCAGGTCAGGCTGGCGCATGCTTGCACACCATGGCGGTGTTACAAGCGTACCAGGCTGACCTGCTCAAGGACCTGGATGACAGGGAAGAGGGCGTGGGAGCTGAACTGCTTCAGGCCACAGATTTGTCCCTCCGGGCCACCAAAGAAACGGCCAGAGCTATCGGCCAGATGGCTTTCACCCTCTGGCCTTTTCGGTGACGCAGTTAACACTGTCGTCGAGAGGATCCAGGAGGCGAGAAAGCAAGCGGCGGCGTTTCAACGGTTCCTCCCTCGTCGCTCCCAGGCCCATGTCAGGCTCCTCATATCGCCAGTCACAAAAACACAGCGTTGCAACCCGCACCCCTCCGCAAAAAGAACGGGGGTCGGGGCGACGCTCTCAGTCAGGGTCCTCTAGACTGAAGACGGATCTGCCGTTATTTTGTCGAAGAGGACCTCGACTAAGCGGTCCTGACGCCAACATCGTCAGGCCCCTGAGGGCAGCCCCACCTGGGGAGGAAAGGATATCACCTCAGTATATGGTGCCCGATCCTCCTCAGTGCCCTCACGGAGAGTCTCTGATAACCCTGCCACCCTCGGTGCTTCAGGGCTCAGTGAGCTCCGACGAGCAAAATTCCCAGCTGCCGCCCGGCAACGGTACGGCACGGGAGAGCTCGCCCCCTCAAGTGAGGGTTCTACAGCAGTCAGGTCGGTCGTTCCCTGCTGGTCATCCGCTTCAGGGCACCGAA